TATATATATATATATTATTATTATTAATAGCTAATAAAAGTAAATAATAAACGTATTAGTAAAATAAAGTATAATAAACATAATACAAGTAAAAAAATATAATAAATAATAAAAAGTGCAACATTGTTATTATTTTAATTTTTATTATAATTGATTTTATTTATTTTAATTGTATATTTTATTGTAATAATAATATAATAGCTAAAATGCTATTTTGTTTGACCTCTTGAGGTTAACGAACAACCTTGTCTGAAGGTTATGCACCTCCTCTGCTGAAGAAAATTTAATTTGAATAGTTTCTATTTTCTATATGACAATATCATAGCTGTCCACCCTAAAACAAATTTCACCATAATTCCCTTTGTTTACCTGAAGCCCACCATGGGACACTCTTTACAGATGTTGCATTTGGCCTGATGTTTGGCAGTTTCTGCGGCGGCGACTCTATGAAGGACAGGCAACCAGACCATGGACTGCGGCTCCAAATGCATCCAGTCCACAAACTGCTGCAGCTCAATGACATCATCACGGCCCACCTGAACCCCAGACGACAGACAAACCCCTCATTCATAACCACAATGCACTGCATGACGCTCTATAATGGAGCTGTCTGAGTCTAAAAGCACTCAGATGGTCTATTTATCATTTCAGAAGCGTATTCAACTACAACCCAAAAACTATAATATCCCATCACAACCTTATTAGCCTGAGGGGAAGGGATCCATTAGTAATTTTGAAGTGAAGCTAATGGGGCCAATTGTGATCATTCGTGACATTAAAACTGCTACTACTGTTATGAATCAATTACAGCGGGCCAGTTAAGGCAGGACTATCAAGAGTCTTTCATTACATGCAACATTAAATGAAAAGAGCTCCACTGTGACCCAAGTAAAACAGTGAAGTATTGGAGGATCCGTCCAGGGCAGATTTATAAATACTCCATTACACCAGCGGATGTGGTCCACATCATAAAGCACTCCATCATGTGATATTATGGGAACGCGCGCGCACAAAACAAGTGGATTTCATTTAAATATCTCTCGGTAGCTTGTGCGTCAGCTGTCGAATCGAGCGCTAAGCATCTGAAAGAGGTGATGTAAATCCCCTGGCAGGCCTGCCACTCTTATAACTGAGTTTATCATTTATTTATGTGTCAGAACTCAGTGAAGTGTAATGATGAGCCCCTATCCCCAAATAAACAAGTCCGAGCATCCGTTCAGCAGCGCCCTTTAGGAATATATAATGTCTCACACACTTGAATTATGTATCATAGAATCATGTTCATTGATTTGCGTGTCAGAATTTTTGTTAAACATTGTCATCTTTTAATGTACACTCTTAAAAATAAAGGTGCTTCACGATGCCATAGAAGAACCTTTTTGTCTAAATGGTTCCATAAAGAACCTTTAACATCTGAAGAACCTTTCTGTTTGACAAAAGGTTCTTTGTGGCGAAAGAAGGTTCTTAAGATTACAAAAAGGTAAGAAAGAGATGGTTCTTTAAAGAACCTTTGACTGATTGGTTCTTTGTGGAACCAAAAATGGTTCTTCTATGGCATCGCTTGAAGAACCTTTTGAAGCACCTTTATTTATATGTATGCTTACACTCTAAAAAATGCTGGGTTAAATACAGCCCAGTGCTGGGTAAAATAGGGACAAACCCAGCAATTGGGTTGTTTTGACCCAGCAGTTGGGTTACTACCCAGAAGGTTGGGTTAAACATTTAACCCAAACGCTGGGTCAAAACAGCCCAATTGCTGGGTTTGCCCCTATTTTACCCAGCACTGGGCTGTATTTAACCCAGCATTTTTTTAGAGTGTACGTTTTTTCACTTTCTCAAAAAATAGAGATTTTGTTCTGGTCATAAATTGAACTTGGCCAAATGATGGACTTCAGCCAAAGGAACAATTTATTGCTCAGATTTTTCTTACAGATCTGTACTGAAAATATTTGTGTAGATCATTTGCTCTTGGAAGAATTTGATAAAAGAACAATTATATTTGAGTTTGTACTGAGATCTGATTTTTCAAGTGCACACTTTGGTGTTACATTGAGAAAAACATTGAGATTGATCTCACAAGGTTACTTTATAACTAACTGAAATAAAGGTCAAATAAGATCAAATATAAATATTAGACAAAAAAAACAAAAACAAATTAGAGATGTTGTTTTGGCAATGAAATAAGTTTAGGTTGAAGCACTAAAATAACTGGAAATAATTCAAAACTACAACTGAACTAAACTAGAACTGAAATTAAAGTAAATTAAACCTAAACAATAACATTTAAAAAAAATTACAAAGTAAAATAAAATGAAACCTGAATAATAAAAATAACGCTAATTCAAAATAATAATAAAACTATAATAGTCTATAGAAAAAACGGACTCATAAATCTCCATTTAACCTTGATTTAATCTCAATGCTTTGGAAACCTGAAATAAGTTTAGGTCGAAGCACTATAATGACTAGCTAGAATTAAAACATAAATCAGAACTAAAACTAAAACTGAAATAAAAGTAAATGAATCCTAAATAGTAATATTAAAAAAAACGAATACAAATGAAAAAAGCACAAAAAGAATGTAACACATGATTACAACAATATAAAAATATATAAAAAAAGATATTTCAAAATAAATAAATAAAACTAGAATAGCATATAAATAATACTACAATAACACTGGTAAGTCATAAGTCTCATTTGTCTTTGATTTAACCCTTGTGTGACCTTTTGGACATTTTTGTCCTTTTCAGTTTTGTTTTTTTGATAATTTTGCCTGTGTTATTGCCAACTGCATAAATTTTGGCACAGATGTGTATTTTTATTGTAATTGTACTATTTCACTTCCATTTCCTTTAATAAATCTGTTTTGCACTAGGTACAAAAAATGGTTCCTCGCAAAAATGTCCCCATTGAAACCCATTAAAACTGCTATTTTTAATCGCAGTGCCATTTAACTGTAAAATGATGCCGTTTTTGTTAATAGGCTTTCATTCTGTTGGCAAGGCTTTAAAATTAAATTTTTTACTATTTTTTACCAGATGGTGCCATTTTTCCGGTTTGGCCTATAAAGCAAATACTCGCTTTATTCCTGTTTTCTGCTTCTGCAAATTATAGAGCCAACTGGATAAATAATGCAGCTATAATTGTGTGGGTGTGTTTGTATGGATGTCAGAGTGTGGTTTGTGTGTCATAAAAAAATTTGTGTGTGTGTGTGTGTGCGTGTGTGTTCTTGTAAAATTTGAGAGAGAAAAACTCTACTGCAAATCACAAATTCAACCACTGTGTGCACCAGCAGAGTTTTGCTGGCATCTAATGGGGAAAATTTGGTACTGCGCCCACACAAAATCTTACTGAAAGCTAATTTTTTGAGATATCAACCTCAAATTTGGAACACAACTTGTTTAGATTTATGGCTTTGATTTTTTAGCAGGTATAGAGTTCAACATGTTTCATAAAATATATATTTTATATACAATATCGTTCATAAATCATTTTCATAAACTTAAACTTTTTTTGGTTTCACTTTTTAAACTTTTTTTACCTCAACAATAATCTGCCATGGGTCTTCTTTAAAATGAGACCAAACTGAACTCTGCGCTCCCAAGCTTCAAATTTTTATGACAGTTTTTTGACATGGACATTTTTGTCCACTATGGACCTATGTGTAACTTTTTTTAAGTGACGCACAAGGGTTAATCTCAATGCCAAGGCAATTTTCTAAAATAAGCTGACTAGATAGAATTAAATAAAACATCAAAAACTCAGAACTAAAACTAACAAAACAAAAGCACATTATTAGAAATTATATTATATTATAACATTATTAGACTAAAATATGAATACACTTATAATAATACAGAAATATAATACAGAAATAACATTAATTGTCAAGAGAAAAATCGGACACATAGGTCTTGGTTTGACCTGATAGAAAGATATGAAGTGAGGTATCTCATTATCTTGTTTTTAACTCACATTCTGAAAGCAGCTACGGACACTGGGCTCCATGTTCCTCCCTCCGAACGCTGCGGCCTCCCCGAGCTGGTGTGGGATTTGGATGCTGTTGTGTAGCAGTAATGCCAGCTGCCTCTGGTTACAGACGCCTGCAGCGCCAGCAACCTGAGCGAACAGATCTGTGGAGGACAGCAGGAGCGAAACTCAAAGAACATCACACGATGAGACCAGGAGGGTGAGTGGCTAAGATTTTAGACTTAAGATCCAATTTATAAATGTCCTTGTAAGAGCTACAGCAAGGATGGTGTTGCATTTAATTCTCTGTAGGTCTGCACAGACATAAAAGTGAAAGAAAGAAGCCAGTGTTTCACAGCATGACTTAATTCATTTATAAATTGAGAGCAGGATAGAATATTTTATGCCACATATATTCAATTTCAAAGTACTTGCATTTGTACTTATCCTTTAGAGGTCCTTTTGAAAGAGAAAACAAGCCGATCTTCATGGACAACACTTGAACTTTTCCACTTCTGTCGCTATTAAAAAAATAAAGACAGCAAAAGGCTGATTCAATCTGAACAGGGTTTTTTTTTTTTTTTTAATTGTTGTGCAAACAAAACAGGGATGTTAGTTGTAGCAACAACACACAATTCTGGCAGAGCCTTCTGGCTACACTTACATTTATATACCACACAAATTACTTATTATATTTTAAATGCATATTATCTTGGGGGAAAACACTGGTTATGTATTTACTAAGCAGTTTTGTGACAGCTTGTCCTCTTGGCAAAAAAATTGAAATATTGCTGTAGGACTGCAAAAAGAAATTAACATAAAGCATTACATCAAATATGTATGAGAGCAACCATTACAGAGGGGGTTGTCTGCAATAGTTTGCAATAGTTTAGAGGTCATGAGACACACTTTTTAGTGGCATTAAAAAGCATTGGACAACTTATTCAGATTTAAAATTTTATAAATGTCATTATTAGATAGAAAATATTAAACCAAGAGTTAAGCTTTTTTTTCAGAACAGAACTGACACAAAAAGTGTCACTTTTTTAAACAATATCTTTTGCTTTATCATATTAAACTAAATAATCTTTTTTGTGATTATGCTGGCAAATAAATGCCTTTATATATTTTTTATTTGAATAAATGCCAAATACTTTGTTATTGGATGCATTCATACATTTTTATGTGTCACTTAAAGGAATAGTGCACCCAAAAATTTACATTTACTCAGCCTCAGGTTTCTTCATGAGAACAGATTTGGAGAGATTTAACATTTCATCACTTGCTCAGTAATGAATCATCTGCAGTGAATGGGTGCCGTCAGAATGAGAGTCCAAACAGCTGATAAAAACATCACGATAATCCACAAGTAATGTACGTTATTCACAAACTGTGTATGTGCTGTAATAAACAAATCAATCAAGACCTTTTTAACTTCAAACCATTGCTTCTAAATAAAATGGACAGAGAGTCCTCTATCCATGATATTGCTTTCTCCACTGAAAATGTCATCTAGTCTGAATCAGGAGAGAAACATGCAGAGATCAAGCACCGTTTATAAGCAAAAACTGTTCAAAACCGTTCTACACAAATGTGTCAGTTGATTTTGATGTAAGACTTTTTCACTGGAGGGAGGAAGCATTATTATGGATTATGGAATCATATTTTGGCCAGAAGCAATGGTTTCAAGTTAAAATACCTTAATGATGGATTTGGTTATTACAAACACGCAGCTTTTCACTTCACAAGACATTAAATGATGGACTCATGTGGATTACTTGTGGATTATTGTGATGTTTTTATCAGCTGTTTAGACTCTCATTCTGACGGCACCCATTCACTGCAGAGGATCCACTGGTAAACAACTGATGCTACATTTCTCCAAATCTGTTACGAAAATCAAACTCATCTACATCTAGGAGGGCCTGAGGGTGAGTACATTTTCAGCAAATTTTCATTTTTGGGTGAACTATTCCTTTAAGTGTCTAAATATGTTTTAAAGGCCACTGTTTTAAAGATAAGACCCATACAGACCTGTCGTAGACCTTTAGAAGCCAGTTTAGACACAGATCCACACACAAAGGCACATTAACCAGATCCGGATGCACCTGCTGAAGTTCACGGTAGATTGTGGAGAGACAGTTTATGATGCCAGGAATCTCCAGTAGCTGCCCATTATGCGTGAGTTTGTGTTGATCAAAGACACTCTGGGCGATGCTGAGCTCCAAAAGGTCCACTGAAACAGACAGACAGATTTCATCTCCACTCATTTCAGTCTCCACAATGAATTCCATTCAGCGCATTTTAATGAAAGTCACCAGAGCGTAACTCATCCGTTGGCGTGGTAATGAAAATTCCCTACTGAAAAGGCAGCAAAAAATTATATTTCTTATCAGATTTGCAACCAATTATACATTTCAACAACTACCCTTTCTCAACATTACCCACATTCAAAGATATGAAGCAGAAAGCAGCTGCTGTCTGTCACCAAAAACACCATCCGGCTAACCTGACTGAAGGCCATTTCTGCACAGCTTGTACTGTACTGATGTTGTCAGCGGGTGGCTTGCCGGCTCTAATGCTCTCAAAACTCCTACTGCAGATCAAAGGCTCATAGTTAGTGGACCAGAAACGTCCTGACAAAATTAGCAGATAGAGCTTGAGATTGCTTGGTTAAAATTGCCTTTGTCTTCTGCAGTAATCTGTTTACTTCCAAAAGTCATTTCGAGTGAGAAGTGATGAGGGGTTTTTCAATGCAATGCAATGATAAATGTCCAAACAAATATGGTATTTGGTACAAAATCCCCCACAGACGAACCATGGAACTGTTTTTTATTAGGAAAGTATAAGACTTAAATGATTAGATATCACTCACAGCAGAGGGCTTTCTGTAGCCGGCGGCTCTTCATCGCTGTGCGGTAAGCAGAGAAACGCACATGGCTCAGATCATCTGCACGTTGAGGGTAAAACATAAAGGCTGGATGTGAATATTATCAAGAAGAAAAGTCCTAGTTCTCAAGTTCAAATAAAGAGCAAAATGTAAGAAAGCATGCATACTGAACATGTTTAGTGAACTACATGGACAGAAAGACTTGACACTGATTGACAGGAGCAAGAACAAACCCATTGACTGAAATAGCTGTGTCATCTTTGGATGATCCCATGAGGTGGTCTGCTGCTCATGACTGAAAGATAATTAATCATAATTAACATCAATTCACCTTAAAGGAATGTACCATGGAAAATGTATTTTGGTATCTGTTAAGTATAAGAATAAAATTGACAGAAGGTTTTGAAGAGTTTCTCGCAATTATTTGAAGGAGCCTTTTTTTGTACGAAATCAATACTTTTATTCTGTAAGGATGCATTAAATTGATCAAAAATGACATTGACAACTTTTATAATGTTACAAAAAGATTTCTGTTTAAAATAAATACAGGAGTTCTGGCATGAAACTCTAGACGGCGCAGTCTGATAGGTCTAACTCAGTCTGACCTAATGACATCATTATCACATGGCACAGCTGATTGGTTCTCTCCTGTATCGGTAGCCAATGAGCTCGCTGCTCAACATTCAAATATATGACTAGTGCTTGCCGTAGCAGTTGCAGCTTGCTTCAGAAACCCTCCACCTTCCCCAGCTCCACCTGTATAGATCTGCTACGAGGTGATTCATGTATGCTATATGGGGGTTATTTCATATATGTTATATTTGCAGCAGCAATATTTCATACATGCTCACAGCAGCATGTTGTGGATGTATTGGCAGTAGCAAGTCTCGGTACTTGCTCTGCCGCAGCAGCAGCGTAGCAGATCTATTCCGCCAAGACCAAATACATTAACATTGTCATGTACATTTCCATGCCAATCCCTCCGAGAGTTGTCATGACAGAAATGCTGTTCTTTTGAACTTTCTATTCATCTAATAATCCTGAAAAAAATTATATTTTAAGCAGAACTGCTGTTTTCATCATTCGTTTCTTGAGCAGCAAAATCAGCATTTTAGAATGATTCCTGAAGGAAATGATTATAATACATTTTAGTAAGGGTGACTGCAACTAGATAAAAATTTGTTGAATAACTTCATTCTGATGCAAAACTGAACACACGGGAAATCACATGAAGATGATAATGTATGAAACAACTCACTTGATATAATAAGGGACACCGTTATGAAAAACAGCTCTTTGCCAAGGGAACCGAACGGAAACTGGTTGGGAGACAGAAGGTTTCAAAGTCATGACATTTGAATAACTTTCACGCAGTATGGTTTTTATTATACAGTGGAAAACGTATTTAAGACGTAATTGGGGTTTCTCTACTTTTCTGAACAATGATTTTTCATGACTTCCTCAGCTGTTTCCAATTGCCCGGATGAAGATTTTTAAGAAAAAATTTATAAAGAGCAATTTCTAGCCAGACGATGAATAGAGTTGAGTATAACTAAAATATGTGCATTACCATTCAAAAGCTTGGGGATTAAGATTTTATAATATTTTTGAAAGTCTATTATGCTGCATTTATTTGATCAAAAACAGTATATCTGATTAAGAAAAATACAATAAAACAGTAACATTATGAAATATCATTACAATTTAAAATAACTTTTTCTATTGTACTGTAATTTATTCCTGTGATGCAAAGCTGTATTTTCAGCATCGTTACTTCAGTCTTCAGTGCCACATGATACTTCAGAAATCATTCTAATATGCTGATTTGCTCAAAAAACATTTCTGATTATTATCAATATTTTTGTCAGGATACATTTTTTTCAGGATTTCATGAATAGAAAGTTCAAAAGAAGAGCATTTATTTGAAAATCTTTTCAAATCTTTTGTAACATTATAAATATCTTTACTGTCACTTTTAATCAATTAAATGCATTCTTGCTGAAAAAGTGTTAATTTCTTTCAAAAGTTAAGTCTAACTGACCCCAAGCTTTTGCATGGTAGTGTATACCTATTCACTACAGAAATTACTTTTCAGTTACTTTTTATTAATTCACATAACTGTTCCAGAACTACAAAAAAAAAAATCACCATTTTAGAATTAAAAAGGTTTTCCATGACTATGATAGTACTGACAGATGCTTAAAAATGTTTACCCAACTTACCAGACAAAAGGTCATGGGAGAAATGTCTCTTATCCATTTGAGAGCATTGCAACTGCTGGTGCTGATTACCCACAATCCCCTGCTTTCATGAATAGAAAGTTCAAAAGAAGAGCATTTATTTGAAAATCTTTTCAAATCTTTCGTAACATTATAAATATCTTTACTGTCACTTTTAATCAATTAAATGCATTCTTGCTGAAAAAGTGTTAATTTCTTTCAAAAGTTAAGTCTAACTGACCCCAAGCTTTTGCATGGTAGTGTATACCTATTCACTACAGAAATTACTTTTCAGTTACTTTTTATTAATTCACATAACTGTTCCAGAACTACAAAAAAAAAAATCACCATTTTAGAATTAAAAAGGTTTTCCATGACTATGATAGTACTGACAGATGCTTAAAAATGTTTACCCAACTTACCAGACAAAAGGTCATGGGAGAAATGTCTCTTATCCATTTGAGAGCATTGCAACTGCTGGTGCTGATTACCCACAATCCCCTGATAGGAATTTGAAAAAAAAGAAAAATATTCTCAAACTATCAAAATTCAAGGATTATAACTACACCAAATGGCAAGATAAAAAAAATATGCCTAACATCTTACTGTGCTATCAGACCATAATGCGCTGATCGAAACAGACCCCCCCCCCCCCCCCCCCCCACCATTTTAGAATTAAAAAGGTTTTCCATGACTATGATAGTACTGACAGATGCTTAAAAATGTTTACCCAACTTACCAGACAAAAGGTCATGGGAGAAATGTCTCTTATCCATTTGAGAGCATTGCAACTGCTGGTGCTGATTACCCACAATCCCCTGATAGGAATTTGAAAAAAAAGAAAAATATTCTCAAACTATCAAAATTCAAGGATTATAACTACACCAAATGGCAAGATAAAAAAATTATGCCTAACATCTTACTGTGCTATCAGACCATAATGCGAAACATACCCCTCCAATGGAGACATAATGGTAGCTCAGATCAGAGGGAAATTACAGTGCTTTAAAGGCTTTTTCATCCTATGAGACGACTAAGCAGGGGGCAGTCTGAAGAAAAATCAAGACATTGTTCTGAGAATATGAGAAAGAAGTCTCAGGTACTTCACTCCTGAAATGACCAGACGCTTATTATCCAACACGCCTGTCTTCAAGAGTCTGTGGAGACACATCTCTGCCAAAATATAATGAGTGCCCTTTTCATCTTGTGTGATAGACAATGCCACATCCCAAAAGCACAAATGGTGCAACTCTTTCAGTTATATTTCAGTTATAACTATTACATGAAATCCCAAAATGCTCACTTGGGGTGAAAAATGTTGTTGTTCGAGCTCCAAAAATGAGTTAGTAGCAGCCTGACTGTGGTTTGATGAGGGGTGTTGGTGAAACAAGGCCCAAGAGTGTCATTGGGCAGGTAGCAGCTTAATTATCTATGTTCTCCAGCTGCTCAGAGTGATACGGAGGGTCAATATATCTGCCCACAGGATCCTCAAAACAACATGACAGTCGCACACTCGTCAACGCTGTGGGATGAAGGAGCAATCAAAAACAAACTGGACTCTGTGTGGTTTGAGTGATCCTAATGGATGATTAAAAATAATCGATTCTTTAAGGTCAGCGCTGGGGTTTGAATGCACCTTATGAGAATTTCAGAGTGGGATGCCAACCGGCTCTAATGATCTGTTGCCCATGTGGCACAAATTGGCAACTTTATAGCTATTATGTGGGCTAGTAAGAAATATTCTAAACCTGAGATGTAAATAATCTAAAATTTTGAACTTTAGTTTACCCAAAAATAAAAATCTGCTAAAAATGTACTCGCTGTACTCAGGCCATCCAAGATGTAGATGAGTTTGTTTCTTCATTTGGGGTAATTTAGCAGTACATCACTTGCTCACCAATAGATCCTCTGCAGTGAATGGGTGCCGTCAGAAAGAGAGTCCAAACAGCTGATTAATTCAATTATTATCTTGTGAAGTGAAAAGCTGAGTGTAAGAGTGTACGGAACATATCCATCATGGCGTTTTAATTTTAAAGCATTGCTTCTTGCCAAAATAGTCCATAATCCATAATAACGCTTCCTCCAGAGAAAAAATCCATCCCCTGTTGTCCTCTCACATCAAAATACACTGGACTCAAAAAATAATACTCAAAATGCAGAGGCAATATTTTGGATAGAGAACTCTTGAAGTTATAAACTTCTTAATGATGAACATGTTTATTACAAACATGGAGCCTAAATTGATGGACTGAAGTGGTGTGGATTATTGTGAGGTTTTTATCAGCTGTTTGGGCTCTCATACTGATGGCACCCATTCACTTCAGAGGATCCATTGTTGTGCAAGTGATGTTATGCTAAATTTCACGAAATCTGTTCAGATGAAGAAACAAACACATCTACATCTTGGATGGCCTGAGGGTGATTAAATGATTACTTTAATTTACATGTATGTACAGTTAGCATGACCATGGATACATACAGCTTACAGAGTATTTCAGATGGTTTTATGCCCATTACTGCACATCTCAGAGTTTAACCAATCTAACTCCATCTTGACCCTGATGTTTGGCATTGTATGGTCAATAGGCGGTGTGGTCTGATGACCTTGCATGTATGCAGTCCTCTACCTAATCTGACCTGGTGGGACAGTTCAATCAAACAGATGCATTTGTACAGTCAAATCTGAGACTGATCTTTCACTGGATCTGCCTTATACTATTCTAGGCTAAAACTACAAAGAAAATGTCATATTTGATCATCACATGAGACATGAGGGATGAGCTGACTATGACATATCCAAGTGTATAATAGAGTTCTAAGTCTGTGGCGGTCAAACTGGAATAAACTGAAGAATAGAGAGTGACATCTGTAGTCCTAGAGTAAATTTTCCCTCTTCACTCAAAAACACTGGACGACTCCTAATAATAATCTCAAATATGGTTATCATATACCTAAATGTTGAACAGTAAAGCATGTCATAATAAAACAAATGCTAACAGAATTTATGATAAAAAAAAGGGTTCTAAAAACAAAAAAAAACAAATTGTAGTTTATATTGAAAGGTGATCATTTTAAGCTTAAAGGGGTCATTGGATGCCCATTTTCCACAAGTTGATATGATTCTTTAGGATCTTAATGAAAAGTCTGTAACATAGTTTGGTTAAAATTTCTCTTTTCAGAGCAAGCCGTTTTGTTGCATTTTCCTTTAAATGTTAATGAGCTCTGCTGACCCCGCCCCTCTCTTCCGAGCCGCTCTCTGAGAGACTGTTTACTTTAGCCGCATTCATCGTGAAACTTGCTAATTAGCACATTATTAGGAAAAGCGATTTGCAAAGATTCATTACGAAACATTAAACTCACTTCTTCTGTAGGTGAAGCTGGATCAGGAATGATTCGCGCGAACATAGACGCATTTATGTAGATCGGGGGAGCATTCCCTTCAAAAACAAATGTAATCCACTGCGTCTTCAACGGCTCAGATGTCGGGAGTAAATGACGACTGCTATGTTCATTATTACATCCAACAACAGAACACCTCAATCGCTTAGGAGCCATTCTTGTCTACACCTGCTCCGGCGGTGAAACAATGGCGGACTGATGACAGTCACTCAGGGCGGAGCTAAGGTAAGACACCAGTCCAGTCTGTGCTGAAACACTACTGTCAATCAAACTATTGTGGGAGGGGCCTTTGTCTGTGACGTCACACAGACAGGCATCTGAGATTGACTCCATTCGAGAAAGGGGTAAAGATTTTAGTACATTAAAAAAAAAGCACTGGGTGGATTTTTATCATTATAGGGTGGTTGTGTACACACACTGCCAACACACACACATTTCAGTTCAAACAACTTGTAAAAGTGCATGTAGGATCCAGTGACCCCTTTAAAATGAAATCAGGCATTAAAACATTTTGAAGAACAATTCTGAAACATAAAATAGAAAGGGTATATGTTACTAATTCAGCATCAATAAAAAAGAAAATTATAAAGAAAATTAATTTGGGTAGCACTTAACAAATAAGGTCCTATTTGTTTAACATTAGTTAACTACATGAATTAACTAACCATGAAAAGTTATTCTAAAACAGTTATTAGTCTTAGTAAATGTCAATTTCAACATTAACTAATACATCACTAAAATCAGGAATTGTAATGTTACAATATTAATTGGACCTGATTAATAAATTCTGTAAAAAATTAGTTGCTCATTATTAGTTACTTGTAGTTATTGCATTAATGGGCCTCGCTTTAAATCCTTTCCGTAATTTTTAATTTGAACTCACGATATTTTCCACGTTCTCCAGCACACAATTGACCATACTGTGTTCCTCAGAGTGCAAGCTCTCACTCTCCATCTCAGCCAGGCCGAGGTCCAGTTGGTTCATGGCATGTTGGAGATCCTGAAGTTTCCCCAGAGCCCAGTCGACCTCGTGCTGCCAGCTGGCGGCCTGAGCACTGAACCGCTCCCAGTGCTGCTGGACCTCAATGGCCTGCTCCTGAACCGCTTGAGCCAGCTGACGAATCTTCTCCTCCTGGACTGTCTCTGCTGAAAGTTAAAGACAGTGTCAGTCAAGCGAGATGTTCCACGTCATGTCATTTTAGTGATTATTTAATCCAAAGTAACGTTTTTTTGTGATCTGTGGGTTTCTACATACTATGGTGACATTTATAGACCACGATGACCATGACATTTTTTACATTATTACAGTAGATTACAACATCATAAGAGTAGACAGTAAGACACTTCAAGCTATGATTAGCGGCGTAGCTGTTTCAATGTCACACAAACTTACACTGTAAAAAAAATTCCGTAAAATTTACGGTAAAAAAACGGCAGCTGTGGTTGCCGGAATTTTACCGTAATAAATAAGGTAGCAACGATTTACGGTTTTAACTTAAATTGACAGTTAAATACCGTAATTTCATTAACTGATATAATGTTAATATACCAACCTATTGAAGTACTGAAATCTGTTTTGTACCTTTGTAATACACTGATAACCACCAAATGCAGGTGGTGATGAGAAAGTCACATGATGAACCAAAGCCCATCACAAGCAGCTTTTAAATAATAACATATATAGAAGGTGCACAGTGTCATTCACACAAACACTAAACACCATCATGGTAACACACATGAAACTGAAATAATGCAATAAACATTCATTTAACAACATTAGGTGTAACACACAACCCTAATATACAAAACTGATAAGAAAAAACTAAGAAGAAACAGTTATTTCAACAAAAAAACATTAAATTTGAAATGTAACGCAGGGAATTCTGGGAGTGTCAGTTTACGGTTATTCACTTCTTTTTCACTTCCAAAAATGGTATACTACCGTAAAATTAATGTCCAATACATGTAATGTCCAATACAGTTTTTCACCGTATATAGTAGGGGAATTTACCGTTAACCATTTAACAGGTTTTTACAGTAGCATTTTTACAGTATTTTACCGTTAAATTCATGGTAATTTTTTACAGTGTAGGCTACCGCTGTCTTATATGTAGCTTTGGAAAGTTCCATTCTTTACATTTACATTTAGTCATTTAGCAGATGCTTTTATCCAAAGTGACTTATAAATGAGGACAATGGAAGCAATCAAAATCCACAAAAGAGCAAGGATGCGCAAGTGCTATAACAAGTCTCATAGCTTAATGCAGTACACGTAGCAAGTTTTTTTTATATTATTATATAATAAATAAAAAGAAAACAGATAGAATAGTAAAAGAATAGAGCAAGCTAGTGTTAGAGGCCTTTTTGCTTTTGTTAATTGTATAATAAATAAAAAGAAAACAAATAGATAGAATACAAAAAGATTAGAAAAGCTAGTGTTAGTTATTTTTTTTAAAGAATAGAATTAGAATAAAGAGTGCTAGAGTTAAAGGGTCAAATAAAGATGGAAGAGATGTGCTCTTTCTATTAAATCGGTTCATTTGGACAGTTCTTGTAAATGTACAGATTCCAAAGAGTGGGATTTCGATTCTATTTGGATGATTTAGTTTTTGTATGCCTTTTTGTATAAATCAGGGACAGCTATAGTTCAAGTAAATGTATATTTTTACATGTGTAATTGTAATTGTTTATTCATTTCTTTTATAAAACTGTGGTTCTGATTAAATTATACATTTTAGAATTGGATAGTTAGATAAATTATTTAATTGAGTAGCTTCATTGTACTATTACTCTTTGCCAGTAGGTTACTTTAAAAAGATTATCTGCTCATATTTATTTGTTCATGTCAGATACATGTAAACTGGGTTTTACAGGACTGAATATTTTTGTAGTTGTCCTAACCATATTACTGTGGACCAGTCTCTTTACTTTGGAATCTAATCTTTCCTCTGCGATCAGCTGCTATAAATCCAGCTCAGATTTACATCCGTCCCCTTCAGCACTCTCTCACTTTTCACTTTGTGTCCTATAAGGTTTATTGTGTTCACTGAGCCATTTCAGACACATAAATCAAGCAGCAACGATGCTATAGACTAAAACTATGACCTCCAGAAATGAAAGGTGTAATAAAAAATTAGTGTTTGAATCCAGGAGACGATCATTTACATCGGAAAGACAACACACATAAAATTTGACACTTGGTGGCATCTTTAATAGAAACAGACGATTGAGGACAAAACCAGACTGATAGGTGAAATATGTCACTGCAACAAAGTGTGTTTAACAGAGAAATGTGTGATTTTAATGTATGCTACCATTCAAAGGTTTGAGGTCAGTAAGATTTAAAAAAAATTAATTAATACTTTTATTCCGCAAAATACATAAATTGATCAATGGTAACAATAAAGACAAGTACAAATCTTGAAAAAATATAGTAGTCTACATTTGAAGTGGATCAAAAAAGTTAAGACAAGAACGCATTTTGGTTTTAGGTTTTAGGACAACTTTGATGAAAGGTTTTGATCCACAAATGTTGACTAGTGTATATATATATACAGTTATCACAAAAATTATTAGCAACACAACCATTTTCAGCATTGATGAATATTTCTTGAGCAGCAAATTAGCATATTAGAATGATTTGAAGGATCATGTGACCCTGAAGACTGGAGGAATGATGCTGATAATTCAGCTTTGCATCAAAGGAATAAATTACATTTTAATATACACTGAAATAGAAAATTGTAATAAATTGTAATTTTAGGTTTCAAGTTGTAATAATATTTCACAATATTACTGTTTTTACTGTTTTCGATCAAATGCAACTTTGGTCAGTAAGCATTTCAAGTCTTACAGATTTCAAACTTTTGAATGGTAGTGTGATTGAACAGCTGCTGAAAATGTAGCTTTTTTGTTTGATTACTAAAAATGTGAAATTAGAAATGACTGACCCCAAAACATTTAAACAAGTAGTGTATATATGTCTAAACTGTTGTGCATTACATGTTGTATAAAACACATGCCCAGCCTATATATAAAAGAAAAATCTCAAATAAGATCTCTTTAATATGTTAATTATCTCTCCTACACAGTAATAGGAGTACATTATTTTTTGTTGAAGTCTCCTGCTGCTCAGATGTTTCTCTTGAGAAGAAGACCTCTATACATCTCACATCTGCCCCCTCCAGAGTTTCAGAAGGAATCTTAACAATGTCTCAAACTGTGCCGAGACATCAAAGCCTGTGATTGAAAGATTTCAGTATGAACCCAGGCATTTCTTATCGAATTCTCCCAAGACCAAATGATCTGAGCTTTGTTATCCATAACATATGCTGATTCTTTTAAGAAACATAACTGAGAATTCCTGTGCCATGAAAGAGAAACCTCCAAAAAATTAAATGTTCCTCTGGGAGGACGCAAACTGACAAAAGCAGTCTCTCACCTGCAGCCGTCTCTATATTGCTCTGGACTTCCATTGCTGTAGGTTGAACAGCCAGAGACAGACACATCTGATTCACATCCTGCCTCCGTCCAATCAACTCGCTGTGCAGGGCCTGTGTCGAACAACACATTAAAGATGCAGGGGTGTGACATTTAAACTAAATCATAAAGCTAGACATTCATTACAGCTCCTTCCAGACAATTTAGAGATGGTCAAATTGGAGATATAATTACTCGACAATCAGAAAGCAATGTATAAACCCAAACATTAGAACCAGAGGGAAGATGTTTTGTGGTCAATATCAGAAGGAAAACTTGTGATTAATTGTGTGTTTTTTACTGATAAAGCAAGATAATATCACCAACAAATCAGATGCAATAATGAGCCGCTGACTCTAATAGTAATGATATAAAAAATTTATATGTGGAATATATTAGTTTACTATAAAATACTGTTTAATTCAATCCCGATTACATATATATAAAATACTTTATAATATCGTTTACTGCTATTATTATGTGAGGTCTGCATGTCAAGACAGACTTATTGCAACTGATGTAAATAATGCAATGTTTTAATGCAGTAAATGCAATAAATGACAATGATAAACAGTGCTGTGTGCATCAAAAGGACATCAATAATTCAGCAGAGCAATAACAAACAAAACAATATCACAGCTTCTGTTTGAGGAACAGTAATCAAGGGGTTTAATTATTTTGTATTGTATCTTGTTATTAAAGTAGAAACATCTATATTATCAAGGGACTGCAAGATGCCTATTTAAAAAGGCAATAACTGGTGCACAGGATGAGGTGCTGGGTACAAAGTGGAAAATTATAAGACATTGTGTAAAAAACATATGACGATATCACGCAAAAAGGGACTGTAAGTGTTTAACTCTCTTCCTGGTCCTTAAAATCAGAGATGCCTGTTTAACCCGTGAACATACTGCTTTGGCATCCTTTTTGAAGCTCCAAAAAAAATGTACTTTACATTCTTTCAAATTCAAGACAGAAAGACTAAGTAATACAGATTTTGGAGCCCAAGTAAATGTCACTCCCTCTTCCACACACAGAATGACTGACTGTACAGTAGCCTTGTTTCTGCAGTAAAGCATGTACATCTTCTCCCACCGGCCTCTGCTTTGTCTGCTCCTCATCCTTCAGCTTTACCCAGAACCAAAGCTCTTCAAGGATGGCTATGAGTCCTGTCCATTTCTCCGCACCTGCCTCCAAAAACTCTCTGAAAGAACATGACAGTTTGAAGGAAAGTTCAGGACATTGGAGGTATCCGTTTATATATATCCTGTTTATATTGCTGGATATATTGCACAAACCTTCTCGAGGCTATATGAATGTGGTCCACATCTCCGTACTTATCAAGCTCTTGTGCCTTGGTATTCTGGAACTGACTCCCCAGAGCCCTTTTAGAAAGATCAGTCTGGGTATCAACATCTGTCTGAGTGTCCTTAGGAGAAATAACAGCATGCAGAAGCTGAAATTGCACCAATTCAAACAAATCTCAATAGACTCTGATTAAGTGATCATCCCTCTGGTCTCTGTGGCCTATAAATAGGACTAAAATGAAGATAAAACAGCACTGCTGTTTTTAAAGGAATAGTTCACCCAAAAATTAAAATTAGCTGAAAATGTACTCACTCTCAGCTCAGGCCATCCAAGATGTGCACACGTTTGTTTCTTCATGGGAACAGATTTGGAGTAATTTAGCATCACATCACTTGTTCTCCAATAGATCCTCAGCAGTGAATGGGAGCCGTCAGAATGAGAGTCCACAGTTGATTAAAACATCACAATAATCCACAAGAAATCCACATGAATCCGATGAATAAACAAAATCATCTACGTCTTAGATGTCCTCAGTATAAGATGTTTTCAGCAAATTTCATTTTGGGTGACCTATTCCTTTAATGAGACTAATAATGCAGGGACACAACATCTGGAAAATATATAACTAGGAATCCAAATAAACCAATCAGGTTCCAAACCACATCTGTGGTTGACAGAACACTTACCTACAAAATAAAACTGCACACACCTCACCTGCTTTCAACAGTCTGCTGTAATTCCTACCTGTAAAACTTTCATTTATGGTGGCAGTCTCCTTAAAGCCTCCCCAGACATAATGAGTGGTTGGTTTATATCAGAAAAATATAGCTGTCTCGTTTAGGGCCGCAGTGATGATATATACAGCCAAAGAAAGACATCAAACAGAGACATAACAGACAGTCTTTGCTTATTATTACGCTGGAATCCATTAATATCGTTATCTATTCTGCTAATAAGTGGAGCTGGAAAAGATGAAGGAAAATTATATTTGCTATCATTATTACTGCTATAACCAGGGCTCGAATTGAGGGGGGAAGGCGGGAGGGGATGGCAAAATGATAAAAGCATCCCCTCTGTAAAACCACCATCCCCTTTAGAATAATAATGCTGTGTATTATGTAAAACTTATTGTGCAAATTAAATACCAATATTTTCTACGCATAATAATTTATTTACTAAATAACGGCGATTGGCCAATCAAAGCTAACGAGCTCACGCATGTTTTCGTAATTTTTCGTGCAAAATGATTCAAGTGCAACTTCTGGCTTTCTTTAAAAAGAAGACAACATAATAAGGTATTATATTTTCTTGATTAGAGATTAAAGACATTCCCCTGACATAGCGGTTTAACTGGTTCACTTCAACAACTGAACTGTGAGTGCATCATTACTGCTCTTACTTGCTGTTCAACCAAGAGCGCATATGCATATGAAAACATGAAAATTTATAACATAATATCCAGAGCTTTTAAATTGTATGAAATGGGTCATATGATTACATTATTTGGTTTGAGATTCACAGACCAGTCATTTCCAGCAGTTCAAGATCATCACGTTTACAATTTTTAATTTTATTTTTTTGGAATGTGTTCATCCTTTTTCCATTTTATTCCAAATGGAGACCACACTATAAGGCTCAATTAAAATGTTTGTAAAAGTGTTCAAAGTGCTTTTTAGAGATGAGCCTAATAAATATAATAGCCTACATCCCTTACATAGTCTTTTAAAAGAGTTGTGAAACTTGGCATCTATAAGATAAGCAATAAATGTTGCTTCTAGTCAGAGAAATCAGAGATTGGCACACTTGTGGTGAGGAAGACATTAAGAAGAAGTTTATTAATGTCAATGCATTAATGTTCTTGCCATCTCATAGATATGGTGCCAACTGCAGTTTGTGCATAATGCAACAACTCTCTATGAACAATAGTCTTCTTGAAACCATAAGAAAAGGCTCAGAGAAGCTAGTGTATGTGTAACCAGGATGACCAAGTGGTCAAGGTGTTGGACTTACGATCCAATGGACAAATGTCCTTGTAGGGTTGAACCCCAGACCTGAAGTTTTAAAGAGATATTACGTGAAAGTTTGAGACGCAAATTTCTGTATAATTCATGAAATACCTGTTAGAGAATAAATAACTGTGGCTTTCTGGACAAGATTTCTAAAAAGGTCAGTCAATGATAAAAGTTACTGCTGCTTTGTTTCACTATAGACCCCAGTTTAGCCACAGATTAATCATGCATCCCATTGCAGTATCATTGAATGTTAAATCTTGGTGAATGCACTTTTCATTTCACCCTCTAAAACACTGAGAATCTGTGAGCCCAAATACACACACAATCATAAACAGATCTGAATAAAATGCACCTTCGTAGTATAAACAAAGTAATTGAATACAAACACTCTTTTACCTTGCACAGTTTCTGATAACGTGGTGACGTGACAGCCATTCTTTGGATGTGTTGTAGAAAAAGCATCACTTTCTGCAGTGAAGATCTCACCATAGCCATTATCTTCAGACTACTGGGCTTGTTTAAGATTCTCATCCTAAAGGATTGCCGCTCCTGAGGTTTGCACAGTTAGCACATCATAGGCTTTGAAAGTGAATCCAAATACTCCTACAGCATGTCCAACAACTTAAGAGGTCATTTGCAAGTGTGAAGTAGAGAACGCCTCTCCAAAGCAGCAAACAAAGCAAGCAGAGATCCGACTCAAGAGATGTCCTGTCTTCAGGCTTGTACTTTAATCTTCAAAGGGATACTGAACAATGAATTGAGAACCATGAAAATTGAAAGTTGGACTACGGTGCAAAAGCTTGTTTCCTTGTCAGCAAAAACTCCCTGTCTGCATGAGATGATGCTGAGCGAGAGAACGAGAGTCTGAGTGAGTGGCAGAGAGAGAGAGAGAGATTTGGGGAGAACACATAGCATGCATACAACAAGACTGTATTATAGAGTGAGGACCATATAGTCTTATGCAATCAAAATGCAATATTTTTAATTACAAAATGTATTAAATAAAAAATGGTGTAATTTCAGAATATCTTAGTAGGCCTATTTGGTTTGTCATATATTGCTTGCTCTACTGACAGCAGCACTAGAGCTGACAAGAATAAAACTTGATTTGAGATGTTCTGAAGAACAATTTACCGCCTGTACAAACAATCACATGATCAATGTCAAACATATCTTGGATTATTTGTCTTTGAAATATAATCAGACTGGAGAATATACAGGAACACATAAAATAAGAAAACTATTTGAACTTTAAAACACTTTTATAGTGAGATAATGGAGCACATACACAAGGAGGAAACACACCTCAATTTTATTCAGAGGCCCGATATGCAATTTGTTACAGCTGGTGATATTTATATGGTTACAAGGTAAAATGAAATTCTGATAGCTTGTAATGTAAATCAATGAGATCTTGAACAGTATATCAGCCAACTTACATAAAATGCATATAAATATCGGTTGTAATATCGGTTGGCAAAACATAATGCAATGCAATACAATGATCACTGAGCTGAACAAATAAACATTCCTCAAAAGCCTGATAAATTATATTTGATACTCATATTTTAACAATGTTTTGAAACCTAAGGTACTTCAGTCAAGTAACTGATAATCTTGAAATATTACTAATAATATAAAAGTTATTCTTACATTTACTTTATAAAAATCAGTAAAGATTTCACAGCAAAAATATTTTTTTTAGAATGAAAAGGCCTTTTCCTTGTAAAAAACAAATAAAAGTATAAACTACCAAATCAGACGACACAAGGCATGTAATGATTGTAAACAACAGGTTTTGTCAAACGTATACAGTATGATTGATATATGATACAGATTTAGGATTTTCATGTGATTAAGCTCTTCCCCTGGAATCTCCTAATCTTTCAATCTAATACATTAATGGTAGTTTGGGGGTAAATGTGATATGACGAATTAGCTCTTAAGTACCTGATAAATCAGCAACACATTAAGGTGATTAATAAATTGATAGGAACTTAAAGGGTTTAACCCCATATAACTGTTCTGCAGGAGATCTGAGTCATATTCCTGCTCAATATCATGTTATCACCAGTGTATTCACTATTTTATTTGCAGTGTAACTTTTCTGTTATACATGTGTTTCTTTCACCTAGAAAACCCCAAAACAAGAATGAAAAACATGTGACTCCAAATACTGCCATCACAGATGTTTTGAGACAAAAAATACAATGCTGACATCTACTGGTGTACCATGGCAACACATTTCCACTGTTATGAATCACTCAAACCTGATAGGAAAATGTGACTTTAAATAGATATTTGAATTTCATCTTTTTGTTCCTGTGGCTCAGCGCAAAGGTCGTGGGTTCGATTCCCAGGGACCACACACATACTGGTAAAAAATGTATAGCTTGAATGCACCGTAAGTCGCTTTGGATAAAAGTGTCTGCTATTATTAATTATTATCTTTTTCCCATTGCATTTGTAACTTGCTCATAATATACAAAGACAGCATAAATACATTCATAAATGCCAGTGCATTTGTGTTATTGGCCTCTCTTGCATAGATGCAGTGCCAACTGCAGTTACAAAGTGAGTTGCAATATCTGTATATGCAATATAATAAATTGACATCTTCTTAAACAGTTGAAGACCAGTTGACTTTTCTGCTAGAAATTTGTCAACCAAAAGCAAATGCATATAACTTGTTTTTCACATGCATATGCATCATTACAGTTTAATTTGAGGTTTATTGTACGGTTTAAACTTCCTAATTGTGCTCTAAACTCTTTTTCAGAAATACCAAAAAGCCTCAAGACAAGAATGTAAAACATTTGACCCCAAATACACCACTACAAACAAATCTAAAAGACACACATCACAACTACCTAGTTTGAAGAAGGGCATTTTAATTTTTAAGAAAGTTGCTCTTTGGCTAGATGTGGTTATTAAAAACAAAGAACCAGCTAAATCTAATTCCACAATTTGAGGTCAGTTTATATAATTCCTCAATTTGAGGCCAAATGAGCCTCACAGTGACCAGGATGGCCAAGTGGTTAAGGCGTTGGACTTAAGATCCAATGGACAAACGTCCTCGTGGATTCAAACCCCACTCCTAACATTTAAACTATATTTAATATATGCCATCTTCCACTTTATAGATAAGCATCCAACAGAAAAACAAGTGACTAAGCAGTCTAATAAAGCAAGGTTATGCTTAGTTAAATGCATCGACAGGATTCCTAAAGCCCCATGGGAGCAAGCTACACAGTTGGCAGAATGGCTAAGTTGGACTTAAGATCCAATGGACAAATGTCCTTGTGGGCTCAAACCCCACTCCTGGTAAACTTGTGAGATTTAAATGCCATATCTTCTTGACTTGAACCTTTGCATGCAAATGTGGTTCTTAAAGAAGCAGAAGATAGATTTCTCGCATTGGTTCTGATGAGATGCAACAACAACGTAAAGAGTTCTCAGTATTTGTTCAAATGTATAAGATTGCAGGGTTTTGTATTCAAAACACCAGACACTTTTACACAATATCTTTTGCAAGTCATATTGCAGAAGTAACTTTCAAACTTGGGAAACCTACACTGATGCAATCCTACGTATTACATAAATTTCCTACAAGGAACAGTCCAGCACAATATGGGGGATCGAACAAACGTGAATGCATTAAAAGATAAAAATATTTATTAAATTAATGCAACAAACCATACATACACAAATAAATGTACCTTAAAATAAAGCAGTAGATTCATGAGTAAAATATGTTTCTGTATATTATTTGCTCGTGCACTTTAAATGGGCATAAAACACTTTATACTTGTGGTTTCCCTTTTAATATCTTTTACACATCAAGTGAATGTCCTGTGACTCTCACAGACGTTTAGCAGTGAGATTGCAGTATCACTTTAGCTCATTTGCATTGCAGCTCCTGTGGTTTACAAGAAAACACAAAGTTTTTTACAGTGACAACCATCAAGCGCAGGCACTGGGCATCGGTTGGTCTCTTCAGAGCAAATCACATGACATGGTTAACACTAGCTTGCGAGAATAGCCATATGCTATGGCTTATGCGAAATGGTAAGGCGGTAACACCGAGATCATTTATTGCAACATGGAAAACAGCAGCAGAAGAGCTGTCGACAAGGGTTTTTCTTCTTGTATTTGACAGCCTTCTTTATCTGAGTTGTGGCTTTGGCCACAAAATCTTGGGTGGCATATACATTGGCCTCAATGTTGTCCACCATGGGCCCTTGTTCCTCCACCAGCAAGGCCAGCTGGAAAAACAGATCATGGATGTCTCTGATGCGACTCTCCAACTCCAAAAGCTCCTTATGCCGATTCTCGATCTCAGTGAGCGCTGAGCGAGCGGTTCGCCCGTCTGTGAGCAAGTCGTCGGAGAAGACATTCCACTTGCCTGTCTCGATCATTTCTTCGATTTGATTTCCAGTCACTTCTTTACCCATGATCTCTGCTTGCCTTTGAATGCGAGTCTTGCAGTTGTCCCTCTGTGCCATTTCAGCGCTGTTGTACTCATTCATGGCCTCATGAAAAGAACCTGTTATAGAGACAAACTGGCCGCGTATCATGCGCACCAAAGCCGAATGGGCTCCGTGTTTCTCCTCCAAATCTTTACAAAGTGCATCCATCTTCTGTATCCGAGCATACAGGTTCTCCCCTTTGGTTTTGATGTTGCGTGCGATCGTGTTGGAGTCTCGTTTGATGCTGCTAATGCGTCTGACGGAGGTGAGAAAGCGTGTGTTTTGTTTGCCCAGCCTCTTCACCTCCATACGGAGGTGGGCGATTTCTTTCTGGATGGATTGGGCTTCTCTGAAAGCGTCCTCCATGATGTCCTCGCCCTCAAACACCACCGCATGCTGTTCAAATTCACTACTGTCCACATCTTCTCCGCTATCTATTTGGTCTTCCTCTTTGTGGTCTTTGGTGGCAACATCTCCCAGTTCAACCAGCCGGTCTCTCATCTTTCCTGGAAAATGAAGATCAAAACCACATGGAAATTCAGTTTGTTCGACTTTATGACAGGCTTTTAGATCTTTATTGCATCGTATGCAGACACATTCAATCAATAAACAGTCAGACACACTGTTCACAGTGCAGGCCTAAAGGCCTTTCATTGATGTTTCAGCACAGCGGCAACCATTCATCATGAAGCTAAACTAAATATAAGACCAGAAGTATTTGTCACTTAGTCACCGCAATGGCGACCATGATGCTGCACATTTCCCACCCCATATGGTCACCATACAGAAAATAAAAAGGGTGGGGACTTCCCTTTAGTCCTCTGTTGAACACTTTGAGGCAATAAGAGCAAACACGTGACTTAAGTGCTTAAATCTAAAATCCTGGAGTAAAGGCATTATTGTCTCATTATGGATATACAAACCAGAAGTATAGCTATACAAGTGAACAAAACAACAGTCTTTTCTAAGCCC